GTAGCTGAAAATTCAGGAATGAAAATTGTGAAGTGAGAGTTTTGGGCAGTCTGAAAATCCTGAATGGTCCTGAAGTGGTGAAAGGTCCGAAGACCATGAAAGCCACCCCTTACCACTTGCGGATGCAGCCTGCCTAAACAGGTGGTTTTCAGGGTCTTCGGAGCTTTCACCACTTCAGGACTGTTCAGGATTTTCAGACCTAAATGGTCCTGAAGTGGTGAAAGTTTGAAGACCCTGAAAACCACCTGTTTAGGCAGGCTGCATCCTGAAGTGGTGAAGGGTGTCCTGAAGTGGTGATGAAAAATATGACTGCACGGACTGCCGCGGCTAACTAGCCGGGTCTCTCTCTCTCTCTCTCTCTCTCTCTCTCTCTCTCTCTCTCTCTCTCTCTCTCTCTCTCTCTCTCTCTCTCTCTCTTTGTGCGCGTGTTGTGAAGTGCAAAACGAGAATGAAGCTTGACGCATTCGGGGCAATATTCAGTCTCGATTTGCAAAATGGAATCACGTGTTAGCGCTGAGGCGCATTCTCGTTCTCGAAAACGGAATTGCGGAGAGAGAAGAGAGAGAGAGAGAGAAAACGAGAACGAGAATGAGAATGAATCTTTGTAGCGAATGGGCCAAGATTCATTCTCGTTTTGCACTTCACAGCGAGAGAGAAAGAGAGAGAGAGAGAGGACTGGCGAGCTGCACGGATTGCCGCGGCTAACTCGCCGGGTTTCTCTCTCTCTCTCTCTTTGTTTTTCTTTTTTCTTTTTTTTTGAGAACCTAAGATTTCCTTTTCTTTTTTGTTGGGGGGGGGCTTTTTTTTTTTTTTTTTTTTTTTTTTTTGGGAAACGAAAAGGTCGTGCCGGGAGCTACCGGGCGTTCTCCTGGCCGACCCCCGAAAGTCCCGATCGTTAACGCGCCGATACTTTTTTTTATTCGTGGGCGAGGTACTGGTGGTTTAATAATTTACTTCTTGCTGTATGCTTTTTTCCCTTTTAACCCACCAGTCCCCCTAACGTCAGAAACCTCGGGGTTACCGGTACACCGTTTCACGATAGGTATGGGCAGCACAGAGTGGAAAAATGGGCGGGCCTCAAAAATGAAATTTGCAGCAAAAATCGAAAATGCACAGAATCGGCGCGGCGAATATTTTGCCGTCAAAATGCTCTTTTTTTATTTTTTCTGATAGTTTTCCTTGAAAGATCACGACCTAATCTACGGACCCTCCAATTTTCAGACAGTTTGATGAATTCCTCTGAGCACGAAAAATCGGCAAAGTTGCCGCTTGAAAATGGCGGGATTCGGCCCGCTGGTGATGAACGGTCGCCCCCCCCCCGTACAATCCGGCCCTAACTCACAGGGGCTGAGGTTTTCGGCAACGGGGGGACTGGTTTAAACCACCACTACCTTTCTCAGTGTTGGGAAAATGGGAATATATGTCACACCGCATTTTTAGGATGTCCCGAGGAGGCTCGGGCAAAAGAATATGTATGGGCCTTGTGGGCCCGCGTCAGAAAAGTAATACGAAAAAAAAACAAAGCAAAGGAAGGATGTGGGGAAGGCTGTGATTACGTTGTGCTCGCATAAATACTTAGAACAACGTATCCGCCCACAAACGGGGCGAGTTTCAGGTTTAGATTTTTTGTTTTTGTTTTTCTTTTGATTGTTTTGTTTCAATGCCCTGCCAGTGAGGAAGGGCGCATTCCACGGGCCCTGACACTTAGTGACAGAGGGCACACACACTAGTGTTGCTGATGATTTATCTACCTGCTATCGTGTCCTTAGGGTAGCTTCACTTCCTTTCTTTTTTCTTTTTTCTTTTTCTTTTCATTGTTCTGTTTCAATGCCCTGCCAGTGAGGCGGGGCACATTCCATGGGTCCTGACACTTAGTCAAGGAGGGCACACACACACACACTAGTGCTCCTGATGATGTATCTACCCGCTATCCTGTCCATAGGGTAGTTTCACTTGGTTTTCTTTTTTGCTTGTTCGTGGACCTGACTGTGCCGTGCCGTTGTAACGATGGTTGTTTCCTTGTTTTGCCTTTTTTTTTTTCCACTTGTTCGCGGATTTCGCCGCCTCTTTTCATTTTTGAATGCTACGGTTGGTTCTTTTCTTTTTTTGGGGGGCAAGAGTACCAAAAAAAAAGCGAAATTGGACCTTGGCTCGGCAGAACTCGGCTCGCAGTGAAAATCAGGGTCGGTAAAAACAGGCTTGGAGGTAGTGGTGGTCCTTCTTGCTTTGTCCCGCCCCCTTCTCTCTTGTTCTTGTGAAAACAAAACCACCACTGCTCTGAACGTCCATTGTTTGGAGAGCTCTGTTGCTGGATCTTCTGGGATGATCTAGTCAACGATTACGGGGTCAAATTCCCACAAGGTTAGAATGCATGGTCTCGTTCGATGAGGAAAGGAATGCGGTCGAGTGAGGAAACCAGAAGTACTTTCTTTGACACTATGTTTGCATTTTTTTCGCCTGTGTTGTCCAGGATTTTTTCCGAAACTTCATTACCATCATCCTGTTTGCAGTTGCGGGAACTGTGGTATCTGCTCTTGTATTCGGGCTGTTGATCTATGCGCTCTATGAGATTGGCTTTGTGAGCCATATGGATAAAAATTCACCTCTTCTGGAGGCCATGATGTTTGGCTCATTGATTTCTGCAATTGACCCAGTGGCAACCCTTTCAATTTTCCAAGGTAGAGTTCACTCTTCCCGCCTCCACGATGGAACCCTATGCCGATGCTCAAGCTATGTGCAGCTCAGGAGCCTCACCCTGCCTCTGTTAATGGTCATGTCATGACCTCAGTAAAACCCTTTGGGTCACTGCTTCCCACACTGTTTGGAGTGACTCTGTCTGCTGGCTGACCGGAGTCCAATGTGGTGTGCCTTGCCTCAATGTGAAAAGCTGAACAAAAATGAGCACTGCATCTTTCCACCTGCTAGCTGTAGATTGACCAGTTGTTTATGGTGCTTGGTGATTGTTTTTGGCGGTGGGTTCTGTCAGTTCCTGCTTTTACTTTTGTCTCTCTTTTCCGTTTCTTATCCAGCTGGCAGCCCCTCTGTCCGCACTGCGCTGAGCACAGTGAATGTAGGCTGATGTGGCAGGTTTCTCGGCTAGTGGATGGGGATCTGAACAGCGGTGGTCAAAGGGGTCATGACACCGGAATGGTCATTGTAAGCAAGCCGTCTCTTTTTGCACGATGCATACGGTGGTCGCATTTAAGAACCTCAGCTTCTAAGTCGTTGGATGGGGCCCACATTAGAAGCCCAATATGCATTGAGTCAGTTGTCAGGAGGAGGAAAAAGCTGCTATGATTCTGTGCCTGGTGGTGCAGACTGTCTTTTGCTTAGTGCCTCGTTTACTGTCAGGAGAGCCACCTGATCTGGCAAACTGGAAAACTTTGGTGGTTGGAAATTGTTGCAAAATCTCTAGCGCCCATTGCACTTCGTGTCCAGCATGTCTTGCTGCACTTCGTGCCTGGAGCTGTGATGCAAGCCCCCTGGCACTTATACGAGATGAGGTGGCTCGAAGAGCGGTCGTTTTCGGGGAAGCATACCCTGCAGCCCTTCAGCCTTGTGCACTTGGGGAAGCACGCGAATGCATGCTGGCCTTCGACTACAAACACTTTCAACATCCATCACTCCTGTGCAAACTGGATTGAAAGTAAATCACGACTGATAGGAAACCTGGGAACCAAACTCGTATTGGAGTATCACAACAGCATACGTTATGAAAACGAGAAAAAAATTGTCCACTTGAAACTGTGCTGACCATCCCCCGAGAAACTAAGTGAAAACACCACAGTAAAGTGCCATACTGGCTTCTCTTTCCTTTCAGGTTCTAAAAATAGCCCTGCTGCTTCTTCCTGTCATTCAAACCTCATGAATGCGGGAGTAGTCGAAAAGCTTGCTACTACCTCGCTATGTTTGTTCAATCGATTCTACCAAAGCAATGGCCTATGAGGTCCTACACGGCTGAGAGTTCTAGGTGTCCAGGTCCTATGTGTCTAGGGACAGCTAAAAGTGCCTGTACTCCCCCCACGTTTGAGATCTTGAATTCGTGATAACAAAGCGCCGCGTATACACTGAGCTTCGCCCTTCACTGACCATTTTGTGTTTTTCCAATTTCGTACTTTGCGCAATGCTTTACGAGGCCCAGTAGAAGAGGGCAATTCATAGATAGCATCCACAATCACATCTGGCCAGCAGCAAACTTGGAAAACAGCAGGAGTAGAAAAAACCCACAGTTACCTCGTAATTGGGGTAGGTGTCGGGTTCGAATCCTGCCTGAGCCCAATAGCCTGGCTGTGCATGGTGTTAGAGCAATGATGGGAAAACTGTGTGCTGCGTTGCTGTTGAAGGGGTGAACTGTGCCCCTGAGCTTTGTTATGTAAAGGGGCATTGGGAGGGGTAGTCTGGGGCAGTATATGGCTAATGTATGCGTGGGAGGTTGAAGTTGCAGTTGATTATCTACTTAGTTGGCTGAGTATACTTTCCGAGTCTGGAAAGTCCCAGCCTGCAGCGCACTCGGAGAAAATTCAGGAAGTACATAAATTTGGGATGATTCCAAGAGTCGGTCACCTTCTCCAGCTATGCTTGAAGGAGGGGTGGGAGAGGCATCCAAGGATTTCTTCTTCTGCTTCTTTTTTTTTAATTTTAAAATTTTAACGTTTTGATTGCAATGAGAAAGGAAAAGTGTCAAGGTTGAGGGGGTAAAGGAGGGTTGGGGGGCGAAGAGACATTCATTCTCTCCCAAGTTACTTCCATCTGTACCCTTTGACTTCGCTGAACTAAACGGTCCTTACTGAGCAATTGCTAAATTTTCGCTTTGGTTTTGTGATGTTCCCAGATGTGTCGGCTCCGAGTTTGCTGTACAACATCGTATTTGGAGAGAGCGTTCTGAATGATGCGAGTGCCATTGTCTTGTTCCGCACATTTGTAAGTGGAGGAATCGCCATTCTCTCCTTGCCCCCCTGTTTCCCTAAGTCTGCTGTTCCTGATATGCCTCTTCGCATAACCTCTCACTTCAGAACATCACCCTATGTCATAGCCTGTGTCATACTCTGCAAATTTAGTTCTCACTGCTACTTGAAGGGGGCATCGGAGTGGCATTGTGCAAGAGGTCATGGCCCCCTCCTTTGTTCAACTTGTCCCATGCTCCTTTATGAAGCGGGCAAGCAGCTGCCTCTTCGTTGTGCGAATTGGTGCTTGTGTTGCTTTCATACAGTGCACCTGTGAAGCCCTGCTATGGTATGGCCTGAGACTTTTAACCAGGTAATCGAGTTGGTGTCCGTGAATGTGCAATGTGGCTGCTCCTGTAGTGAAATTTTGGCCCAATAGTGATTAGTTCTCCATTGGAATGTATTTGATCCACACATCGGTGCAAACGGCCATGTACTTTATCAGAATGCACCCGTTATTAGCCATAAGCATTTGAGAAAATAGGGTTCCCTCAATAGATATTATATGAGGTCTGTGAGCTTTGTGAGTTCTTGTGGAGCCACCGTCTTACCCTGAAAACAAGCTACATTTTATGTAGTGAATTTTGGGTAGTAGCATTTGCGAAATTCAAATTTGAGACAATGCCAAACATCGTTACCCAAGTTCAGGAGTGAAGATGGAAGGAAAGTAGTAGCGGTGGTGGTGGTGGTGGTGGTGGTGGTAGTAGTAGTAGTAGTAGTAGTAGTAGTAGCAGAAGAAGAAGAAAAGAAGAAGAAGAAGAAGAACAGCAGGATCCCTCCTCTTGCAGACATCATCTCAAGAAAATTATAGCCTCCATTGCTTAATTAATAAACGCTCCACTTGGTATGGCTGCTAGACATGGTGCAACATCCATAGCTAGCGGGTCTTCTATGGACAATGCATCTAGTATCATGCCTCTCCTCCCCATTACCACCTTGGTTACCCTGATGTCCATGTCCAACCGTGTTGCATACCGTATAGGTGCAGACCAGAACAAGAACCGACCTTTCAATACAAAGTATAAGATAGCACAGCGGAAGACTTAGATACCAGTGATCCGAACAATCAATGTTGTAATGCAGCCCTGAACATACATCATCATCATCGTTTCATAGTGTGAATGGGTCTGGCGCTTCRCACAGGAAGACAGCGCCAGCCCAGAACATGCACAGACGAGGAGGAAGGGGATAGACGAAGAGGAGGGGGAAGATGGGAATGTCGTCAACACCAAGTCTTCGTCACAAGCCCAAATAGTCCCTCGTCGAACTGTCTGAATCCCAAATGTCAAGTCTGGATCCAATGTCGTCAAGTCTGACATCAGGTGTGTATCTGTCTCTTATACACATCTAGATGTGTATAAGAGACAGGTACTAACCTGTGAAGTTGGCGCCTTGATGCAGGTACCACGAAGATGGAGCTGGAGCGATGGCGCCACAGGTAAGTAACACTGGCCTCCACCAGTCTCTCTCCCACTCTACGAGCTACTACCTACCAGCGCCCAGCGCTGAATACTACAGCTACAGCTATGGCGCCCAGCGCCGAAGACTACAGCTAGCGCTACCACTACTGCCTAGCGCTGAAGACTACTGCAGCGCTCCTCCTGAGTGCTGCGGCCCAATCCTGAAGACTCCTTCTGCCTACTGACTACCTACCCGTGAAGTGCATGGGAACCTCCTATGTACTACGGGTGTGCCTCTTGAGGCTGCCGAAGGGAGGCAGGGGCTGCAGCTGCAGCTCCTGCTCGAGTACGTGAGGAACAGGCTATTTTGGGCCTGTTCCGCATCCCTGTTTCCGTGCCTGAGTCTTAGGAGCAGGTCGAAACAATGAGGGCCTGAAAATGGCCCTCCGTTTCAGGCTGAAAACTCTGGGTCTGAAAAGACCCAGAAATAGGCTGAAACGAGGTAGGGCCTGCAGGCCCTCGTTTTTCAGCATCCAGGCTGAAATGAACGGGGCCTGTAAGCCCTAAGTTTTAGGCTTTTAGGCTGAATGTCCGGGACGGGCCCTGTAGGGCCCGTGTGGCTACGCAGTATGCCACAAACTGGCACCGCAGCAGGGGCATCCTCGATGCAGCGCCAGCTTGTTTAATAGAGATGTAGGTCCGCCTCGGCCAAAGGTCAGTCTCCTTCGCGGTTCTCACCTCTTTACTCCTTCCTCAAGTCAACCTCCATTCACTTTCACAGCCCATCTGTAAGGTCTTCTCCCTCTATCTGCGTAGCCTAGGGCTCCTCCCACCTTCCGCTAGTAGTCATTATGTCCTCTTCCTTGCATTCATCTCCTCCTCCACCCTCCAAGTGCTCTGTCTCGCTCTCCCTCTTGATGGAACAGCAGCATCATCGCTATGTGAATGTGGACTACTCGTTGCACTGAATGATATACTACTGTCTGGCGTCCATTGCGTATCAGTAGATTCAGTACTTGTTCTTCTGGTCGACCCTGCAAGGAATCGAACCAGCGAGGTCAGGCTCAACAGCTGCATGCCTCAACCACTGCAAAGTGGAACCATACCGGTAGTGATATCAACCCCACCCCTGCATGGCAGCAGCATGCATACACATTCTACATAAGGCATCGCTTGAGACCCTCCTACAGAGTCTGTGGCTGACCGCTTGGCCGACTTAGGACAAGCCCACCAGAGGTCGTGCATTGTCTCAGAAACCCAGTTACACCTGGCGCATGCTTCCTTGACTGACATACCTCGTCAGTCATTTTGCCATAGGGACCGCCTGATGTGATTGAAACCAAAGCAATGAGGCCAGTTTCTGAGAGGGAAGTGTTGAGAGTTGGGACCACAACTTCTCCATTTCCTTCTCCGTTGGAGGGGAAATGTGGGGAATTTTTGCTTGCCAGCGGCTGCATACCTCTGTTGCAACTTTTCTTCCCTTTAATCTGTTCCTCCTTTGCACCCCTTTTGACATGTTGCACAGGTCCCATATTACTTCCCCTTCCAACTTCCAGCCCCATTTAGTTTGGTCAATTCCAAGTTCCGTTATGCTTCTTCCTCCTGCCTGAAGCTCATATTGTACTCTCCCTTCCTCTTTCTCTTTAGTGCACACCTTCAGTTCTGAGAGTCCAGTTGTGCTGTACCTGGTGGTTGTCTCCACCGGCAGACCTGCAAATTTCCTCTGAAAGACCGTCATTACTAGGGAGATATCCCGGGCGCCCGGGTCCCGATGTCACGCCCGGATTGGCGACCGGGTGACCGGCCGGGCATGACCCCCGGGCATGGCCCCAGGCAGCCTCAGCGCAAAAAAAAAAAAAAAAAAAAAAAAATTCAAATCCAAAAAAATGTGAAAAAAAAAATGTTGTGTAGAATTGCAATACAAACAACTTTTGGCTGAGGGTCACATCAGAATTCCTCACAGAACTAAAGATAAAAAAGAAAATAACCATATCACACTAAGGCACCCCCCTGTAAACCCCTTTAGCCCCTCTAAAATTCATTTACACTCCCCTTTCCCCCCCTTGACAGCCAACACTCAAAAAAAGAAAAGAGCCCGGATTTGGGCTCCTCTCGGAGAGCGCGGAAAAACCCATCCGCCTTTTTTTTTTTTTTTTTGCCATGACCAGGTCACCCGGGCGTCAGACCCCCCCGGGCGTCATGCCCGGGTGACCGGCCGGTCCAGACCGGCCGGTCATGAGAATCTTCCTAGCGTCATTATGCATTTGCCTCGTGGCTCTTCTTCCCACCTGTCCAGCCTGTGTAGCCGGAGGAAGTTTTGCTCATTTTCTTCAGATTTAAACCAGGTACCCGGTGGAGGGATGTACTCAGGTCCCAGTCTTCCATTCGGCTGGATTGGCGTCGATCAGGGCTCTCATTCTCTCTTCTTGCATCTGCAGCTGACCGAGGCTTTCTTTTAATTTTGCAGGTGATTTCCACTGCCCTTGTGGCTCCTCCCACAAGTCACTGACTCGAGAAACCCCTCCTTGTGTCCATTTCATCCGAAAGGAGCCTGGCTTGGGGGCTGCTGCAAAAGGACAACCCTCCTGCGGCAGTATGTGTGGGTTTTCAAACAAATGCTGACACAGTACCTCAGCACGCGAGGTAGGTTCTGCCACTTCGCTCGGCTTGCACTTCTGCCAGGCTGTCACGATGCTTCTCCAGACTGGGGATTTGATTCTCTTGTTGAGAAATGCTTGAATCATAATTGCCACCCAGACATCCGAAGCTTGTGTCAGGCTCCACTGTTCGCAGAGGATCTCTTCTGCTGAAAAGCACCAGTCTGACTCCTCTTCCATCAAAGCCACTCTCACTACCCATTTGGACAGAAGAGTTAAAATTTGCAATTCTGGATCTAGCAGTTCGAGTCCCCCTTCTTCAGACCCAGGCTTCCAAATGAATCTCCTGGCTGCTGACTTAACCCCTTTCAGCAGGCCTTTCTCCATTCTCCTCATCCTAGCCACATACCACAGAATAGAGAAAGCTGAAATCATTACCGCCAGAACCCTGCCCATCAGAGAAAGATGTTTGGCCTTTCCCCATTTTCTGATCCTTCCACTGACTTTCTCCAGCAAGACTGTGCTTTGTGATGCCATGCAGTCCTCCAGAGCAACCTGTACTCCAAGATAACTCTCTCCTGCCCCAGCTGGAACCCTCTTCATGCCGTATTCTGCTTGCAGTGAGTAATTGCTCAGGGGGATATAAATTGACTTACTCCAATTGACGGCAGCTTCCGACAGTTCTGCATAGCGAGCCAGACACTTCTTCAGAGTTTCTAAGGATAGGGGGGTGTTTGCCACGATAGCAAGAAGATCCTCTGCCAGTGCTTTTACCTGGCATTCCTTTCCTGACCTCAGTCTCAGACCTTCCCACTAAGGGTGTTTGCGGATATCGTTGAGAATCACTTCCATTTGTACCAGTGCTTTTACCTGGTATTCCTTCCCTGACCTCAGTTTCAGAGCTTCCAACAAAGGGTGTTTGCGGATATCGTTGAGAATCACTTCCATTTGTAATGTAACACAAACAGCACGGGGGCGAC